CAGGCGTCCAGATACTTCCAAAAACTTCGCGCTGACACACATGTTCCAAAAGCAACGCGGCCAGAGACGATAGCACAACAAAAAAATCTTCGCCGCCAAAGAGCTGCAAGATCGTTTGGGAAACAACTAGAAAATATGTCAGAGGAGGTGCGGCGTTTATTTAAGAGGAACTCGGACTGGCAACGGGATCGGTAGAATTTTAACGGGGTCGTATACAGGTCAGGCCTGATTATTGGGTCAGGTTCCATTTCCAACAGGATCCTCCTACATAAGAAGAAGAATCGAGCAGTGAAGAAGATGACGAGGCTGTAGATGTCGACAGTGATGATGACAACGAGGGCGTCTCTGGTACTAGCAGCGAAGAGGACGCTGCTGCTACGAATTTGGGCGCAGATGTGATCAGCAATGACAGTGATGCCGATGAATGCGACACTGAAGCCGACCAACCTCGTGCCGCGCAGACCATCGTGGTCTAAGCATTTTAACCCAACTGCTTAGCTTCATATCTTTCACTTCAATATGTAGCTTAGCAATTGGTCCTGTGTTTGGTAGGGCCGTCAGGAAACCCGCCTGACCCAATTATCAGGCCCTACCCGTAAACGACCCCAAAAATAGCTAACCACGGGATCAGTCCGTGTCGCACATTGACCCTTCGCCAGGCCACTTCTATGATGACTGCTATCCAATTGAAGAAAGAATGGCTTCCGAATGGAGCCACGTGTTTGGGAAATCCCATGCATCAACCTCACCGGAAAAAATTAAAACAGCTTTGAAAAAATTTGCGAATATTCCCCAACAACGAACCTTATCAGACAAAGAAGCAAGAACGATGACGAACCCCATATCGGAGGAAGAAACTGAGTCGGCAATTGCAAATTTAAAGCGCCACAAAACAGGAGGGTCGACAGGTCTCAGTCACGAATTCTATAAGGATTTTGCTTCATTGCTTCTTTCAAGTCTCACCAAGCTTTTTAATGCCATCCTCAAAGGACAAGGGATACCAGCTTCATTTTTGAAGGCGACAGTGATACCTCTTCGAAAAAATGGAGACTCTGCCGACGCGATGGACTATCGTCCAATTGCTATCCTGAATACAGCATATAAATCGTTCGGCAGAATCTTGGCTGAGCGATTACATGCACTACTACCCAAACTTATTAGCGATTCTCAACAAGGGGGGCAATATTGACAAAACAGTGACAATTTTGCGCTCTATCCTTGCCGCAAGTGAAGACATGGACGCAACAGATTGGGCAAATGCAGCAGCGATATTGTGTGTCGACCTTCGGAAAGCGTACGACACCCTTGACAGGCAGTATATGCTGCAAGTACTACGAGGATATGGATTTACTGACCAGTTTATTGAAGTAATTTGGACTCTTCACGAGGGTACAACTGCCCAATTTTTGGTTAATGGTAAATTATCATCTGAGTGGGAGGTGAACTCTGGCATTCGACAAGGATGCCCGCTAGTCCCTCTGCTATTTCTTTTAGCAGTGGATCCCCTAAGTCACGCGATAAACAACCACCCTAAACTGCAGGGGATTGCAATTCGAGGAAATCTCTCCTGCCGCCATAAATTTTCAGCGTTCGTAGACGACAGCACTTTCTTTTTGAGCTCGTTGCACGAGCTAGAATTCGCCAAACAAGTGCTCGATGAATTTAGTGATCTATCTGGACTGAAAGTGCAGCCAAACAAAAGTATTCTGATAGGTCTTAATTGATGCGGCACTCCAACTAAATGAAATGGATTTCCGGTACTCTCATCAACTGCTTCCACACGACAGTTGGGGTATTGGATTGGCAACATAAATACTAATAGTGAGAATTGGAGTATACGCATTGAAAAAATTCAAAGACGACTGCGGATAGCAACAACCATAACCAACTCTGTGGCTCAACGAGTAACACTGTTCAATTCTGTTCACAGGAAAGCAGTTTATTCCGTCCAGAAATAATTTACGCAAACTAATAAATCTCCAAAAGCAATTTGTCTGGAACGGAAAAGCTAGCACGGAAACCACCAAGCACAAACTGAACCCGGCTCTAGTCTACACACCACGCGATCAAGGAGGTCTTGGATTACAAGATATCTCTCTGGCACTGCGGGCGACGAGGAGTAATCTAGCAGAAAGATAGCTGCAAGCCAAGCCAGATATTTACTCCGTGGTATGGCATGCTATGGCCCACCCAGGCGAAGAACCATCACAATTATGTTGCCAGTTCCGCCCAACATCAGCACGTATGTTGTCATTATGTGCTAAGGAGTCCCGTCGTCAGCCACAAATTTCTGTTCAGCTTCTAGGTAAACTGGAATTATGGAACTCGCAGTCAATCAAAATGATACCCAAGAACGATCAACTTAAGAAAATACAACAAATGATTATATCAGCTCCGGCAACACGATCCTGTTACTGGATATCAGGCACCCAATTACGATTTATAACAGCGATGACAAACGACTGCGACATTCCAGATGAATACGCGAACTTCCTTCTTGAATCACCGTGGCATGATAACGCAAATGTGACTGACAAAAACGGCCACCCTCTCCGCTTACAGAACTTTCCATCTTTGCGACCAGCACGAATCAGAGATATAGTCTATACTATCGAGAATTTGAGCCCAATGCAAAGCGACAAGGCCGCCGTGTTACAACCACTACTGCATAAACAGCCATACACACAGAGACATTCACGCCAAATAGTGAGATGGTGCTCATGTGTCATGCTCAGCCTACCTTGGAAGATATGGACAGTGAAGCCCCAAACACTACAACCAAGAAATCTCCCACATATGCAACATGATTTAGAATGGATCTATGGGGAAGCTGACGACACTATAACAGCTAAAGTAAAGAGCGGAGAGAGCAGCAATCTGGACATACAACTGCAACGAAACCAAGACGGGTGGACCTGGAGCATTAAAAGAAAGCGTCAGCATCGTACCAAAAAACTTACGACTATGAAGAATTAGTGGCTTGGATAAACCGAGAAGGTCTCGCTTTTAAACAAACACCGCAAACCGCTCTCTATCCTTGGTCAGCACCAGAACTCACGAAAATAGCCAACTTGGGAATCACGATCCGTAAACAGCGAACCAAGGTATTAAAAACACAACTTCGATACAGCCTTCAACCCACTCTCGAAAAAATAAAAAGGAAAAAAAGTGCATCAGCCTGGCAAAGTGCAGCGCTTCAACAAACTGTTTACCAGCTGTGGTCCACCCAAGGTATTTTTTACAGACTTCCAAAACTGGACAATGTATCGTATCGCCCTTGGAGCTCTCAACTTGCGCCACGATAAATGGCCTGACCACCGTGAATGTCCTGAACCTACATGTCCTTGCACCACTGAAACGATAGACCACATAGTATGGAGCTGCGATAAAGCACAACATGCTTGGAAAAGATGGCTTGATCAATGGCTCGGAGTTCCAACTACCTTGACGAAAAGAAAGGCATTACTGGAACACGTTGCATCAAGGAAGTCACCAACAGCGACAGCAGAATTCCTGTCCGTAGCTCAGCAATGCATAACGCGATGGACAACATGTCACGACAAAGCAATGGAGATATTATGGTTAATATGGACAACAACAACCCCAGTCATACTATGGAGACTACGAAATCGTCATATTTCAAACGAAATACACACATCAAAAAGCGAAACAGCCTCCATAGTCTGGGGAGCTGGCACGTACCAAGTCATGGCGGTAGCTAGCTCATGGAAGACGCAACCATCAAAGCGGATATTGGGTGTGTGTCTGGAACTATGCCATAGAATCATGATATCTGTTCACCCTGAAATGGATATGGAACATCTGGAAACCTGGCTAATCCGTTACTACGCGAGAAATCCTCCCGGAAAAGAGTTCCAAGGAGGATGGCTAGTATACCATTTAGAAAGAGAAGACGCGTGGAAGCTCCATGTAGCTGGTAGCAACACATTTAACCACCAGCAATCCCGCTCAAAACTTGATCTACTCGTCCTCGAACAAGCAGGACAAGCCATTTGTCGTCAAGATGAGCCTCAGAGAATTATCCTATTGATTGATACCATCAATTCACGAGCCTCCAGCATGCTCAGAAAAGACTCAGAAGATAAGGCCGACTACAACGACTGCCGTAATCTCAGTGCACTAGCCTCATTCTTCAGGATACAGTGGAGAAAACCGAAGCTAGCGGCATTCACAGCAGCCAAGAAACTGGCTGCAATGGACCAAAATGCAACATATATATTCGACAATACAAACAGGATGACCCACCGAAGCGCATTCGAAGAGTATCTTCAGCGGACGGAGGAACAAATTCAACAAAAGGCAAACCCTCAGCCATACAGAAAGACGGACTCCATTAAGAACCGTTTAATAGCGTATCATAGTAAGGCTTCTATAGGATAAAAAAACATACCCAAATAGAAGGCCGTTTGAACCACACAGAAAACAGGTCACCACCACCACCTTAAAATATACGACCACCACAATACTGCCAAAGTATTGAAGTGTTAAAGATAGAAATAGATAGATTTACACAGTCGTCGCACTGTCGCTCATTTAAAATTACATGGAGACAAACAAAATGGAGAGTGAGAACGATGATCTTTTAGATAGAGGAGGTAAAGATCCCTGCTAAACATGTGCAACAAGCGTCCTTACTGGCGGAGGCTCAAGCCGAACCGCTCATGTGGAGACCTGCGTTCTCGACTCTGAAATGTGAAAAAGTTCTCGAGTGTTCACGTCGACTACTGAGCAACAAACCGCTACAATTTAAGATAATGCGGTGGTTAAATTTCCGCGTCGAACACGACCGAGTTCAGCCTAATAGTGTCGACATTCGCGACACTGAGGCTTCACTTGACAGCAAGAGCACAAGTGCAAAGTAGCAGCTCGCCACGAGCCAATTTCAGACTGTAGTGACCGATTCGTTCAAGACGTTGGAGATGGTCTTTAGCGATGCGTTGCTGTACTTGGAGCCGGACCAGACCGCCATCTTCATGCAGATGAAAGAGGCCTTCCGTTTGGCAGACAAGGACTGTAGCGGTGAGATCGACGCGGACGAAGTGGCAGACATGCTGGAGACCATCGTCGCCCAGTCTGGCACGGTCAAGCAAGGCGAGATCCACAAATACGTCGAGGAATTCATGCGTGTGGTGGACAAGGATAACAGCGGCCTGGTGTCGTTCGAAGAGCTCATCGAGGCGCTGGAGAACGGCCTCACGCTCGAGGTGGAGGTGTACACGCAACGTAAACTCAAGGCCTCGGCTCTGGTAGCCAGACCGGAGCATGTGCTGGCAGCTATCAATGAGAACGAGGACGACGCGGGAGATGCGAGCGAGAACGACGAGCCGAAGGTCGTCGACGTGGACTCTGGCGACAAGATTTAGTCCAAACTTACACCTTTGGATGTGCAGGAAGCGAATGTCAACAATTCTCGAGCCGCGATGCCGTCACGTGAGAGTTAACGGAACTCGTCCCAAGCTTCGTCCGTTGAGAAGAACAAGAGAGTCTCGTCGGCTGCGTCATCGGATCCTGCCATGTGTCGCGAGCACGACGTTCTAAATGTGAAGGAATTCTCCAGTAGCGACATCGCGGCGCAGATGAAGACTGCGTACGTGGAATGGCCACTGGAAGAACGTCGCGACGAGAAGGTGTCGATGGAGGAGCTCTTACTACTCAACTGTCTCGTCAGTGGGGCGGAGGGTATTGCCAAGAGTCTCACAGAGATGGCCGAGATCGTCGTTGCGTCCTGAAGACAAGAAAGACAGCACATAGATATCTGATGAACAGACTTACTTTTTTTTGATAAAACCTAGATCGCTCTTTCTCAACCTCAAAGCGTCTTTGTCGCCTGGAAGGTCTTGACATTGATCCGAACCTGCTTCATCACGCGCGTGTAGAGTTCCGGACGGTAACCGAGTGGAAACAAAATCTGGAGCTACACGAACATCGGAGCGGTGATCAGATCCTGGTCCAGACTGTCGAAGAGTGCCAGTTTGCGACGATCGAAGACGCCGTGACCAATGAACTGCAGGATCCAGCGTGGATGGCCAATGCGTGCATACTGTGCACGTCCATGGCCTTGGCACCCTCGACAACGAAGTAGTAGGCAAGTACGATTCAGACGGAGATGATGGCGACTCCCAAAGTGCCAGTACTTTGACTACGAGCGCGACCCAATCACGCACTTCATTCATGTCGAGCTCATTGCATTGCACCATCAAACATGGTAGATGAACGCAGAATCAACATGCTAGAAACCTTCTTTTTTAACATCAATGAACGTACTCGTGCTTTTCTTGGAGCTGCGTTGGTGGGTGCCGCTGCTCTGGACGGAGTGTGGTACTGGAGCTCTTGGGCTCAAGTTGGAGAATGACACTGCAAAGCTAACTTAATGGCTAAGGGGCACGTGGACTCCACCGTCCCAGCCACTACCTCGTTGAGTGTGGTCTCTGCTCGGATTCCAGCCGAAATGTAGTGCCATGGCACGTTGCAAGGGAAAGTGAGGCGTCGTTGACAGCGACTCGTTGTTGCTGCAACTACAACATGATCGCTACAACTTCGTTCTCGAATCACTTCACCTATGCTAATGATTCGAACAAAAACACTGACATGGAGTGTTTATTAGCTTTGTGCTAAGTGTTACTGCTTCCTATATGTGTGGACACTCCACTTGTATTTTGTGAGTGATAGCTGTCCACCATTCGTGTGCATTCTCCATTTTTTTTGGTGGCGGTTCCAACTTATTTGGTGGAGTTACACCGACCTTGTATGTGGATCAGCAAGTGGGGTCGCCGGCGGTACGGTGTCTGGCGGTAGTGGTGTCGGACGGGGAATCCCAGTACAGCTACTGAGAGAAGGCCTCGTACGGGTCCGGTGGACTACTAGCTGAACTATGGGGGACGTGCGTGACTTAGTTCTGACGGTCGAGAAGTCTTTGTCGCGAGTGACGAAGCCTATGATGTTGAGAAGTCTGTGCAGTGAGACGCAGCCTTTGAGAGAGACTGAGCAGTAAGACGCAGCAAATGAGATGAGATGAGATGTTGGGGAACTACGGACATGTGGTGAGCCAACATGTACGAGTGATGAGAAGTCTCTGCCCTATCGCGGAGCAAACGAGAGCGAGAAGTCTTTGTAGTGAAAGTACAGAGCAACAAATTGAGTTATGAGTTGAGTGAGCACGCGTTTGGTGGTTAGCGCGAGCTGGACGAGTACGATGTACGGTACGAAGTGCAAGTTGGACGGGTACGAGCTCGATGACAAGTACCGGGTGGACGAGTACAAGAAGAAGGCCTTTGAGACGAAGAACGATTTGGACGAAAATAAGTTTGTACAAACGAGTCAATAAATAGATACGAGTCCATTCCGGCTGCTTTGCGGTGGCCTACAGGTGTTGTGTTTTGTAACTAGTCGAACCTTGCCCGTGACAGAGCAGCACAGCACTGTCAAGCGCTACGACCCGCCGGCAAGCAGGCGTCCTGAGACTTGTTACACATCACTCACTGTAGAACAGGAATGTGAAAGTTTCACTACTGGTAAATGACCAGGTTTTAATTCATGGCACTTGGATTCTTCCTTAGTTCAGAAATAAATTACAGAGAATTATTAAAAGCTGATTTTAAGTAATCTGCTGCCAGCCTACCTGATCGGATTATCAAATGACATAATGGTGCTATTTAACATGATATACTTATAGAGCTTATATCGCTACCATCACGGCATCACGAAATCGTCCAAGAAGAATGGCACGAGGCTAGAATGGCGCTCAGCGCTCACACCGCGTATGCAGGTGTCTTTCGCATTTCCATCCATAAAAATAATAAGCTTATGTGCCGTTGTCTACATTAAGGGCGGAATATGAATTTGCCAGAATCGACTGGTAAAGGAGAAAAACCGGCGCTCTACAGCATGATCGCTGTTTGATAGTAAGCCGATCGCTTTCATATAAAAGATTGTACAGTGTAACCAGTGGTTAAGTCGTAAAGAACCGCAGCGCGGAAGCTCTGGACCTCTTTTTATGTGGATATTATCCGTTCACAGCTCTCAGACACATTGCCTATTTTCCCTTGTTTCGCTGAATGTACTTGTTGAGTTTGCTTTGGTACTTCGCGAGGTTGCCTGCCAGAATCTTACTCATATATCAGTTTACAGTCATTGCCATGTTGGGATTAAAGCCCAGTACGTTAGCCAGCTTCTGGAGCTTCTTCAGCTGTTCCGGAGTGAGACCCCTTTCTTCAGAGTCGGCGGACTCTTCATCAATATGGGGGTGGGTCCTCAGAAATCACCCGTTTGGGATGTCGAGAGAAACCTTCACTTGATCGGCATCCTCGGTCATCGGGTGGGCCTCATTAGCAGCCAACAAAGAAACAGAAAGCACGACGTAGAACGGAGAAAAACGAATGAGGTGCTCGCTGTTGATTTGGAGGACTGAGGACTCGAAGGGAAAATGTCAAAGATAGAATTTCTGAGGCAGCTTTCAGAGCGTCGAATACTCTTTTCGATGTACTTAAATTAAATAAGCATGCTCCGAACCAATTTTTAGGCAGATAATACAGTACCGGTATCATAAGATGGTGGAGAATGCCAATCCCCCGCCATATATGGTACAAGTCCAATCAGAACAAGCATTGTATCCATATTACTAGGGAGATGTGAAAGCGAATTTTATCGTAGGCTTGTAACGAGACTTCGTCATCCATTATTTTATTCCTGTCGCGGGTATTTATAAAACTAAAGGGCTCATCTGTCGACCGAGAATGAGATAGAACTATTATCATAAAAGTAGGCCGATTCAATAATTCATGTGGTGAAACAAGAATATTTTATGATGTACTTAAAGATTATGCTAACTAATACATGTATTTGCTGAGCCCGAATGCTTTATACATTTTATTGTGTTCTCATATTACCAGTACCGGTATATTCACTTTAATAAAATTAAAAAATACTAGTTTTAGCGTAGCCTTATAGTGAATTCGTCGCTCACATACTTTTCTTACATACCTCCGACCAACGTCTTCCGGGCGACATGATCATGTTAGTGGTACGTCGTCGTGGGGGCTGCCTGACATAAATGAACATACATGAAGATTGCACTATTCGATGCTTACCAGCTGTCAAAGATCCAGCGTGCGGTCATCCCGTCGAAGCCGTTTGCGTGCTTAGCGCCTCCTCTTCGAAACGAGTGCGATGTCAAGGCGGCATCCACACCAGCAGCAGGCGCCACACAGCCTAGCACCCGGTTAGCGTGCGCGTGTACTGTAGGGGCCGTGGCAGCGCGTGGCGGGGCTGCTGGGCGGCAAGGCCAGTGATGATTGCGGAGCGTTCAGCAGCTCGATCGGCCGGACATCGGGAGAGAGCGTGACGCTCGAGAAGCCTGCATGTTCTGGGATGCTGCTGACGAGGGCTGCGGCTTGGAGAATCAATGCGAGCGCAATGTAGAGTAAGGGACACTTAGTCAATTCCATGTCAGGAAAGAGCGATTGTCCCTGCTCCTCAGACGTCTTCACGCGAACCAAGTGCAGGAAGAAAACGTTGCCTACGTCCACTGACATGTTTTGTATACCGACCATTCTAGCTCAGACGCGCGGCCGAACAAGTACCAAAGAGGACATATTAAAGCTGCATCTTGATGAGCTAGCATGAGTGTACAAATACATCATCATCTTTCGTACAAGGTGGTGCCTTCGCTACGAGCCCACCACCATCTCGCTTCAGACAGAAGCTGTTTAGTGACTTCCCCATTTTCAGCAACTGAGCTTCCAATGAAGCTCGGTGCTCAGGGAACTGATCGAGCATCCAGAGCTTGGCGTGCCGATAGTACTGTATGGCAGTGTTGAGAGCTTTTGGCTTTCCTTTCTTTCCCTCTTTAAACGCAAGATACATACCAAATCTATCCATCACACACGCGAGTATTTCCCGCTCTCGTCACTATCAATGCACTTCCTTATATATTCCTGTTCAACTTTCTCGTCTTTGAAGAATTTGACGAGCGCACCGATGGCTGTTGCCTTAATTCGCAAGGTGTTACCAGGCTGTAGATCGTTTCAGCTCATGCACTGGTCCAATTAAAGCATAACAGGCAAGTCTGTTATCGATGGATACGCTCGATTCAACCACATCTGGGTCCCTTTCGACCTCTCTACTTGTCCTTGTACCTCACTTGGTATTTATTGAATTTCTTCGTGTATATCGCTTGCTTGTCCGGATTGCGCAAGAAGAAGCGCTGCACGTATGCCAAATCATCAATTTTGTTTACATCCATCCCAACGCTTTTAGCCAATTTCTGGATTTTTTCGGCCGGGATGGTTCGTTCTTCTTCATCTTCTTCTGCTTCATGTTCTTCACGGTCAGGGATCCTCAGAAACCGTTGGATCGGGACATTGGAGGAAGCCAATTTCGAAATTGAGGCAGCGTTCGATTCCGACACGGCCTCGCTGGCACCCACGAAAGAAACCGCGACGACCGCAAAAGCTTACGAGTGACGCATGGACAAACGAGCTGACACAATCGACACTTGAGCAAGCAAGAGAGAAAGTTATGAAGTGATCGTGATGTCTGTGCACCTTGCACGGTAGGGGCCGGCGACTCGTCACTGACGAGACACTGTGACATCCGGACACTAGGTGTCACAGCGCGAGTCTCACCGGATGTGCACTATGTTATACAGCACTGGCTGTACTAATAGTGCCGGGCATTCTTCGCCGACGATAGTGCAGGATATTCTTCGCCGACGAGGCCATAGCGGATACTA